TTTTTTTTCTTAAGAGTTGATACAGTGAGAGCAAGAAGTTGAAATAGTAAAGATTCCGTGAAGGCAGGAGGCCGTTGAAGGAAGCAATTTACACATTCAGAGCTCAAATATCACTCGGTTATAAGAATAAAGATCCGGATCAAAACTAATGTAAAACTATGGAATTTTTGTTAAAATTAGAATGAATTTTTTTAGATCTTAGAGAATCAAAGGGATAATTGCATGATTTGATGATTATTTGTATTAATGCCAGGATATACAATTGAATGATTGGACAATTTCTTAGAAAAAATGTTAGAAGAAATAAAAAATATTATTTCTCACTTAAAAAATATGAATGCGTCTTCTGAAGAATATAATATACTTAATGAAAAATATGAATAGTATGTTATAGATTATTCCAATCATTTGATCAAAGAATGAATTTATATGCTAAAATTCAAAATAGAATAAATATAAGATAAAATAGTTTAAAAGATTGAGATATATGTTGCAATATAGAAAGAATCATTTCATTAAGGGCAATATAAACTTTTTTCATGAAAATGAATATTAATAGGCCAAATAGAAAAATCCTCCTATGTTCTATCTTGCTAGTGATTAGCACAAGTTTTGGTGACAATGACGTAATATCACATAAACTTTAATTTTTTAATTTGTTTGATAGTGAGTAAAATAAGTTTTTTGGTAAGCCCTTGTTATTCTTCTTAAAATTCATTTTTCAAAATTTATTTTCAACTACATATTTTTTAGTAAAATAATATTATATGCAAATTCAAAATTTTCATTAATTTTTGGCCACACATTTTACATCAATCACTATTTAAAAATATATTATTTTCCTTAAAATGGGGATTAAATAAAGGTTAAATTTTAATAAAAATTGATGAAATATGTGATTTAAAAATTGCGAATTTCATAAAATATATTATTAAAATTAATTGTTAAACATAAAAAATTTAAATTTACTTTCTCTAGGCTTAAGCTTGCAGGCAAGAATGGGATAAAATAAAAGATGAAAAATAAATATATAAAAAAAAAATAAAAATGGAACACTGTCAAGGGTGGATTTGAAACTCCATTTACTCTGTTGCACCCGGTATAGTTCTGCTGAACCTCGTCGCAATCGATTTGCCCCAATTTTCATATCCTTAATTCATTAAACCTCTCGGCAAAAGGAAAAGATAAAAATGAGCGTGATCGATCTATTGACTCGCGTGGACGCGATCTGCAAGAAGTATGATAAATACGATATAGAGAAACAGAAGGATTCCAACGTATCTGGGGATGATGCCTTCGCTCGTCTCTATGCCGCCGTTGAGTCAGACATAGAGGAGGCACTACAGGTTTCAGGAATTTGGGAATTAAAACCCTAAATTTGTAACTTTTTTAAACGTTAACGGGTTTTGATCTGTTTGTTGCTGATTGTGTAATCAAATTTGGTAGAAAGCGGAGAAGGCTTCAGGAGAAAGTAATCGGGCATCGGCCGTTGCGATAAATGCAGAGATTCGGAGAACCAAGGCCAGATTGATTGAAGAGGTCCCCAAATTGCAGAGGCTGGCCGTGAAGAAGGTTTAATTCGCTCTCGCGTTTTTAAAATTCTGTTTGTTATGCCCATTTTGATAGAATAATCATTTTAATTGATATTTTGTAATTTGGCTCTTTACTGTTAATTTTTGACAGCTAAATTTTCCAATAAAATTTTCGCGACAAGTGGGTTTTACATTTAATTTGCAATCTCCACTTCTTATTTCCTTCTCGTTGCTGGCTTTGTCCTGGCAAGCAATGAGAATTATTAGTTAATTCAGAAGTTGTGCCTAGTGATAGTTCATTACCAAATGAATTTCAGAATTTTTTTAGTTGATCAGAAATTTTTGTGTGGTTCTGTCTCCTTATTTTTTCTTCTTAAAAAAGTAAAAAACTGGGATATAGGTTAAAGGACATAAATGGACAGCAAAGAACCAGAACCAGTTTGTGGAATGGGCAAGTTGCACATTCACATT